TTTTATTCCAAATATTATGCATAGCAGGTGACGGTAACTTGCTTGACTTAACAGGCAACAATTTCATTTCAGGTTTTTAAGTTACTGAAACATTCGCCATGTTCGAAAGCATTGGAGGTCAGAGTGTATGGCAGACCCATGAGCTGATTATGTTGATGGTTGTTTGGGGTTTTATCTCAACTGCCAATTATGTATTTATTGTTATATTGTTGTTAATGTTGTGATTTGAATTGTTAGCCGCCCATTATGATGAGATGGGCGGCCATACAAATTGAAATAAATAAATAACATGTACTGTAATGCAAACTTTATGCTCAGCCTAATTCTGGAGCAGGTTTAAGACTCCTCTCTGGGCAATACCAGGTTCTCTGCCCAACCTGATTTTTATTTTTATTTTTTAAAGATTCTTTTAATAAAACAAACATTAATGCCAGTCTCTGCTATCATCTTTATCTTCAAAAATACTTTGAATCCCATACAGGTCCGTAGGTATTCTTAGTGCTTTGTTTGGAAATGTACCTAATGCCCTCTTCTCTTCCTCACCCAAAAAAAGGCAAAAGCAAGCTGAAGAGTCAGAAAATATTCTAGAAGAGTGTCAAGGAACAGTTCCATTAGTTTGCTTTCTAGCAAATGAGTAACTGACTGTGATCACTATTGCAGCCATTTTGTGAGTGTGGGAGCAGCCCCATTAGCAACTATTTGTGAGACCACCTATAACATGGCCGCAAAAATGTTGTTTAACTCTGCTGTAGAAGGAAAAAAGGATTATTTAGCCATTTTACTTTCCTTTTCTAGGGTGAATAACTGCGTGGGATTTTCCAACTACAAGTTTTTTCTCCTCTTTTTATTTTATTCCCTCCTGTATTGTCTATTTGTTGCTGCTACGGTCCTGCAATATTTCATAAAGTTTTGGACAGTAAGTTTTTTTTAAAAAATTAGGTATTTTAAACTTTTAAAAAAGTTTGTGTATGAGATACAGAAGCATTGTGCTTTCATGCTTCACATTATACATAACTGTCATCAGTTTGAGGTGAAGCAATAAAAAATACTAAATAGTTATATTTTATTTATTAATATGTGGTTTTAGGTTCACTGCAGCCAAATTTGCTGTCTTGTGGATCACACCTTTTATGTTGGCTTTTCATGCATGTTTTAAGAGAGCACATTATATTTGTATGACATTTATATCAACATTGCCCTCTTCTAATTTCAAAATAGATCTGATATTCTAGTCTTCCTTCTAGTTGAATAGTATGACCTGGCTCCATAAGTCAGATCATTTTTAATGTGCTACATGTTGCTTCAGGCCTATGAAATTGCAGCATTGTGGTTTTGGAAAAGCATTGGCTAATATTCATAGACTGTGAGGGATGTTATTTGAATGTGAACAATTTATATAGTAAATAAGCACAAAGTGAAACATTTGATAATAAAAATTTGTGCATGCATTTTTGCATTAGAAAAATATCTTTTTAACCCAGAGTAAACCTAATCAGCTAAGCCATGAGAGATGATTTATTGTTACCTGTGATACCTTTCCATGATTCAGGCAGATATAGACATTTCTAGACTAACTGGTACAAATTCATGCTATTTTATTTTATTTTATTTTATTTTATTTTATTTTATTTTTATTTTTATTTATTTATTTATTTATTTATTTAGTATGCCACTCATCTCCCCCAATGGGTGACTTTGGGCGGCTTTTTCTGTTCCTTTTCTCTTCTTGGCATGTCATGGTACATGCACAGCAAGTAATGAAGACTTGGTACTGAGTCGTAGCTGAGAAATTGTTAGACAATAGGATTCTTAATTTTGAAATTTGAAATGTTTGATTTTGAAATTTGGGTTGAATTTGTTTTAAGATTTTAATGCATTCCAAACTTTGTGACAGTACTTCCCCAATTCGCATATAATAGAAAACTGTAGTTAACCAAACCCTTCCTGGATATTGGAGCATGCCCCATCAAAATAAAAGGTGGTATGTGCTAAAATAATCTTAGCTTATCAATATCTTGGCTTATTAAGGCATAATATGTATGTTTGAATTGGGAGAGAAGTTAGTTGAAGCTGAGATTGAACCAGCAGTCAACCTGGAGACTACATTTTCAAGTCAAGCATTCTGTTTCTGACACTGCACTTACATCTTGGTATTGCTAAATATCCAGGAAAGGGGATTTTTTTCCCCTTTTTTCCTTCCTTCCTTCCCTCCCTCCCTCCCTCCCTCCCTCTCTCTCTCTTTCTTTCTTTTTCTTTCTTATCAAGGATTTAGCTTAGATATATGTATTAATTTTCTGTAGAAGATTTTTGTTTTATGAATAGGGAGTTAGTCCTGAAGAAAGTATAGTAGGTATCGTTTTCTACACCTCTGAGCACATCCTGTATCTGGGGTTTGCTTTATTAATCTAGGGAGCCTTTTAAGTAAAGTGGAGCATATAACATGTAGACTCCACGCCTCTTAAAAGGTGTAAGAACCACTCATTCAGTGCTGTTGTAACTTCGAACAGTTGCTGAATGAGTGGTTGTTAACCTAGGACTACCTGTAGTCATTAGGAATCAGGCTCAACTTGAGGATCACTTGACTTTTAAGTATCTCCAAGGCACCCATTTCTGTCTTTCAAAGCTCCAGCCTCCCCCCCCACAGAAAAGAGCAAAAACTTCCATTCTGTCCACCCAGATGATATTATGTCATCAGGCACAACCCTTGCAGCTTCTAGACAGGGTATAGAGGTAAAGCACCGTCTCCTTAACTAAAACACTAAAACCTCCTTGGGTTATGAACTGGCTGAGAGTTACTTAAGTATACTACCAACCTGAGTTTTAATTACAGAATATTGTTGAAGAATTATTTTCCGTTTAAAAAAAAACAAACTAATGATTACATTTGAAGAACTTAAGAGATCCTATTACACTTCTTAATAATTTGATTATTTACTGAAAACAAATACTGATAGAAGTGTGTTTTCCATTGTTTACTGAAGATTGTGCATAGACTGATAATGCTGATGGTGGTAGAACATTATTTTATATCTCTGTATTTAAAACAAAGTCTCAAGAATTTTGGTCTGCCTTTGTTTCATACATACTTTGGTACCTTTGTTTGCTAAGATTTATATATATGCTCAGTCATATAATGAGCAAGAACCTTCATAAAGCATGAAAATTGTTCAATCAACAAATTGTTTCTACAGTTAGCTTTACATCAGCTGAATCTATTCCTTTTTCATTTCAGCTGTATTTAAATTATGGAAACCAACTAAAGTCAAGCACTTTTAAATATTTTTAACACATGGTTTTCTTTGTAACTGAAGTTTTAGAAAAGTAGAATACTTAATCAGCTCTGGCTGGCATGTCCTGCTTTTGATAGCCGTTGAAGCAGAAGTAACAAATTTTTGATGAAAGTGATGCAGCTCATTCTATTGTGGGCAAGTTGCTGTTTTTTCTTACTCTAATCACTGTAGGAAAAAATCCAAAAAGACGTTAGTTTATTCATCTGCAGCAGTGATAAAGGAAGGCCACAGTATAAATGAGCCTGAATAGTTTTAAAAGAAGTACAGGCAGTCCTCGACCTACAACCATTCATTCAGTGACCATTTGAAGCTACGATGTTGCCTAAAAAGGAGACTTAAGACCATTCCTCAAAGTTGCGGCCATCCCAGCACCCCCATGGTCATGTGATCACAATCTGGATGCTTGGCAACTCGTTCACACTTACAACTGGTTGCCGAGTGCCCTGCAATCACATGATTACCATTTGCAGCCTTCCATGCCGGCTGCCCCAGAAAGCCAAAGGGGAAGCTGGCAGGGAAGATTGCAAATCGCTGGGGTAAGTCTCCCTCATGTGTGCACCCTCTCTCAGCTCCTTTGCACTTGCACCACGCCAGCTCCTCGCACATCCCCATGCACCCTCCCTGACCTGCAAAGCACTGTTCGCACACCCCCACACCTTCCCCAACCCTCCCGGACAACCCCTCCCCTCCCCACCCAGCAGCAGCCACTTACCTGCCTGGGACTTGCCACTTCCTTCCAGCTTCCCCACTGACTTTGATTGTGGGAAGCCAGCAGGAAGTTGCCTCACCTAACGACCACGGGATTCAGTTAATGATGGCAGCTGGGACTGCAGAGATTGCCATCACTAAGCGATGTGGGCACACTTTACTACCGCACTGCTTAGCGATGGAAATTCTGGTCCCAATTGTCGTCATAAGTTGAGGACTACCTGGAGGAAGTTAAAACTGGAGTAATCAGGGCCTAAGTTGACATGTTATGCTAACCTTACCAGGTTTTGTTTATTTAAAACATTTGTATAGCCACCCATCTTAAATTCTGGGTGGCTTACAACCAATAAAACAATATAAAACCACCAACAGTAAACTAAAAACAGAAAAATCTGGTGCCACAACCACACATTTTCATCTCACCCTGACCTTGTCCTATCCCAGTGCCAAGTCTTTAGTGCTGTCCAGAAGGATAGAAGGGGGGATCTCGGGGGGCAGGGTGTTCCATAGGGCAGGGGCTGCAACAGAAAAGGCACACTTCCAAGGACCTACAAGATGACAATTTTAAGGGAAGGGACCTGGAAAATGCCTACCTTATCCACTTTGGTGGAATGGGCAGATACCCTCAGGGAGAGGCGGTCCTGCGGATAATCTGGTTTGTTTGTTTTTGGCTTAGTTTATTGATTAAGGCTAAGCTATAACATGGTTTGTTTTTATTGAGTTGTATGCAACCAGCCATTGTGGTTCGTAAACCACAAATTATTATTTACCATGATGTGTTAATATTTTGTGGCTTAGTCAGAAAATCACAGTAAATCATGGTTTAGCACAGGTGAACCATGTCAATATTTTAGTCATATGGCTCTGATGTTTTGGTACTTGTTACTCTGTAGGTTTCTTTGCATGATTCCAAGGTGGTTACCCACATGTGTGTGTGACTTCTTTCCTTGGTTTGTTGTTCTTCTAAGAGATATTCCTAATTTCCTCTGTTTGTCAAATAGGTACATTTCAACTTACTTACAGTTTGCCAAAACTGTGGTTAGCAATTGTGAATCTTAAATGTTGAAAATAGGATGAACAATCTGTAGATATCCTGATACACTTGGACTGCCTGCTTCCATTAGTCCAAGGCAACAGGCCCAATGATTTGAGTATGATATAACTTATCATTAAAAATGATCTGGAAGAGATCCATAGGGTTCCTCAGATGCACAGGATCTGTGGCTTTTCTAGATCCACCAAGTAGGTTTTAGGCTAAGGTTGTTTTTTATGTAGCATTAATTCTGCATCAAAATTGCTCATCATGTCTCTTTTAACATTTCACATTAAGTATCAAATATTTAATTGTGCATTACCTTATTAACCTTAGAGGAGGACCTTTTTTAAAAAAAACAAAATTACCAGTGAGTAGGGGGACAGGGATGTTATCTAATTTAGGGGACAATTCTTTCTGACAGTACCCCTCCCCCTATTGCACACTTAATCATAAGGGGACTTAGTTGTAGAAGACAGAGCGCACTTCGGCTACCTGGAGCAGAATGCACAGGCTTAGCCTCACTGGAACAGGCATGCAGAGCCTCAGCACCAGAGCCCAGGAGCTCCCAATTTATCAACCAGCTGATACCACTGGAGAGGGGTCTGGCCATTCTTACGGTCATTGAAAAGTATATAAAAACAGTTGAAAATAAAGGAATAACCAAGAGCTGAAAATGGCTGCAGAGATTGTAGCAAAGCACTAATGCCTTTGAAGATTATCCTGAACTTTGGTTGTTGCCTGGAGGCTGTTTGCCTTGTGAATTTAACCCTTTTATGACACCTAAACAGGGTTCCGTCTCTTTGCCTCATCTCCATCCAGTTTTGCTGCTTTTTTTCCTCTTGTGTTCCCTCGCAGTGTGATTATCCCATTATCGTCCTGTTTTTTTTTTTGTTTGTTTGTTTCTTCAGAAGGAGAGAAGATTGAGAGGGGGGAATGAAAGAGCTGAGACAGAGAATGTGTGTGTATATGCACACATCTGTATAGGAAATCCAGTTCATTTTCTAAACCTTGTTACTCGGTTATTAATTCATGTTATTGTGGAGTCCTAGGTGCTCTCTGAGCTTGGTTGTTTGTTTGCAGACGTTTCATTACCTGACTAGGTAACATCATCAGTGTTAGTGAGTGTTGAGTTTGCTCCCTGTTTATATACAGTAGCTTGCCCTGCCAGTGTTGATGGGGGTATGGTTTTCTCCTTGGTGATTCTTTGATTAGGATATTGTTTTCTGCTTGTTTGTCTGGTGTTAATCCCTGCTTATCTGGGTGTTGACTGCTGGAGGGGATGTGTTCTGGTCTTTTTGTTTCCTTCTTAGCTTTTTTATTGTCTTTTTGGAATGGTGTGTAAATGTGGTTTATGTGTCTATTGATGGCTGATTTGTCTGAATGCCAAGCTTCCCAGAATTCCCTAGCATTTTTGGATTTAGCTTGGTCTAGGATGCTCAGAGTTTCCCAGTTGAAACTGTGGTTGAGTCTGTCCATGTGTTGTGAGATTAAGGAATTTTCATTGTGTCTTCTGTTATTTGGTGTTCATGGATGCGCTCTACTAGTCTTCTACCTGTTCATGCCTGTTCACGTTATTAATTTTTTTGTCATGGATTTTTGTTGGAATACTGCTTCCAGCACATAGGGCTGCCATATGTACATGTATATCATTAAGCAGGGAAGAATTTCCAGGATTATTTTCAGCTGGAGTTGGCATCCTAAGATTACAAGGTGGGGAAACTGGACAGGGCACATATCTTTGGTCTGTTTTAATACTTTTTTTCCGAACTATTCTAGAGGGGTGGAGGGTCTATTTGGATTAAGGGGTCAGAGAAATCAAATAATAAATTGTACTATCAAAATGCTTTGATTCGTAGTTGGGTAACAAATTTTAGTTCAAAGTGTGACGAATGTAGACAGTAATTACCAGGAAGTTTCTTAGTTGTATTCCTGTTGTAGAGATGGCTTCAAGTAGAGCTTCAGATAATGAAAATTAGAGAGAGCAATGAATAGATCTCTTAATTTTAATGGTGTGCCTTGAATGTACACCATTAAAATCAGTGACTCCTTTATTTCATTATGCAAACACAAGTTCATCTTCACATATTCATTCAGTGAATGTAGACTATTGGCCTCTTGACATCGAATACTGCACGCTTTACACCTTGTGCACGAAAAGACCATCAGTTTCCTAACAGCATTTTTACTGTTTCTGAACACTAGTCTTAAGGGGTTATAGCTGTTTAATAAATTGTCTTTATTTGCACAAAGCTTTGCCGCAGGAAATCTGCTGAGAATTGTCCAAAGGTAAAATACAATTTAAGCTGAAGTCTGTTCTAGTATATTCTTTTATACATTTATTTCTGCTAGTGGGTCACAAGATTATTGCACAATTTTTCTAGTTTGTTATAATTAGCAACATGTATTTTATTTAATGCCTGAGGGAGAAATTGGTGCTCTTAAGGGCAGCATATATTGACAGAAAATTAAATGGATGTTAATATAATCTATATCTTATTAATAAAGAAGTAATTTCAGTTCCCATTTTACCTGTCATTGTTTAAAAGGAATATGCTGTTGAATACTTATATGAAGCTATTAATTGTTTAATAAGGTATTTAATAATTTGAGCATATAAAAATTGTGCTACATTAATAAAACACTAAACTTTTTTCTCAACCCATGAATCTTCAGTAAATGGAAAATATTTTTAAAATCTACCAAGAGTTCCCTGTTCCTTTTATCTGCTTACAGTGTACTCTGTGTTATGATATGAAGCTGTTTTGAAATGAATGAGGCATAATGATGTTTAAATATTTTAAACCTTCAAACACCTAACCCTAACCCTAAACCCTGAACCATCAGTATCAGATTCCTTGAACAAACTGGACTCATGCTTTCTGAGCTCACTTTATTTGGGGAAGAAGAACAGCAGGCCAAGGAATAGTAGCCTTTTGTCCCCCTTCTTACACAGTACTTTGTGGGCTCCCTCTTTTAGGAACTGTTATTCTTGTGCAGGCTGAAAATGGAAAAAGTTGGTTACTTCCCACATTGATAGTCAGAAGTATACATTTTTGGATTTTAAACTTTTGTATATCCCTTAAAGTGGTTATCCAAATCACCCAACAATGAAACATTAACACATTTTTTTTTTAAATGAGTAGTAAGGCAGTAAATAAAAATTATAATCACACACACACACACATGTTCCAGTTAAAAGAAAAACGAAGTGGAATGCTTCCTCCTTTTAGTTTAATTTCAATTAGTTAATGGAGCATACTTCTCTGTTTCCCTCTCAAGATTATACTGGGAGAAGGGAGAAAAAATGCTGCAGTTTTGCTTTTCTGCACCTCCTACACGACTTTACCAGCTGTTTTCTTAATACCAACTTAATCTTGAAATTGATTTCAGTAGAAGGCGTTAATCTACACCAGTGTTTCTCAACCTTGGCAACTTTAAGAGATGTGGACCATGGCTGGCTGGGGAATTCTGGGAGTTGAAGTCCATATCTCTTAAAGTTGCCAAGGTTGAGAAACACTGATCTACACCATCTGAAGAGCTGCCCATAGACATGGTTTGGAATGTGTTGGGGACTGGAAATACTGTGGGTTCTGCAGATCCAAGTGCTGTGTTAGGTTACCTCTTTTCTCTGCTCTCTGCCACTGCTGAGAGAAACCAATCTCAGAGGTTTCCATACTGGCTGCAAGTAGGGTCTGAAGATCAACCTTCTCTTCTGTAGAGTTCTCTTCTCCCTTAGAGGAGGAAATCCCAGGAAGTCATCCCAGCAGTCATAGGATGCCTGCCTTAAAATCTTACATTTTCAGGAAGTTTCCTTAGGTTTCTTAAATGCGCCATTCCACAGTTATACTTGTTATCATTCTTTTGTTCCTTAGCTAAAACATTGCTTAAATCTTTCTTACTTCATCTAGCACAACAACTATTCCCTTGCTAATCATTAGTTATTTCATCTTGCAAGTATTGAACAATATTTGTTTTCCTCCTAATTAGTTAATTCTTTAATATTTGACTGCCTAGCAATCAGTTGTTAATAACCTTTCCTCTTCTATGGTTTTGTCCATTAATTGTGAAAGTTAGGACTATGTGCTATCAAATTCACATATAAGTGTTGGTTGCTGTACATGGATTCATATTATTATCTATTTTAATTCAGAATGAAAGGTTTATAAGAAAATAGTAGCTGAACAGAAAATTGATGAAAATGCATTAATACAGTTCTTTTCTTTTTCTTCCCAGAACGAACTACCAGACACCCGTGCAAAATTCCATGTTCTTTTCCTTTTCTTTGTGGCTGCCATGTTCTTCATCAGCATACTGTCATTGTTTAGTTACCACTGCTGGCTAGTTGGTAAAAACAGATCAACAATAGGTTAGTACATTACAAGGATTCTTATTATTTTGGTTATTCTTTAGTTCCTACCCCGTCCCATGTCCAAGCAGCTCAAGGTTCTCCAACTCATTCTCACAGTAACTCCATGAGCTGTGTTTAGGCTGAGAATTGTATTTGGCCCAAGATCACCCTGGAAGTTTAATATCTGATCATGTGTGCACATAACAAAGACTTGAGTAAGTGTTTGTAGGCTTATAATCTGTCAGCAAAGGTCAGATTTTTGTTTGTTTTCTCATCAAATTAAACCTTACATAGCTAAGAAAATGAATAAAGGAAAGGGCCATCACTAACTTTTGGGAGTGTGGAAAGAAAATATCATCTCCCTACATAGCTGTTGATACCATGCCACAATAACCTTGTTATATACTATACGCCCATTGAGTGTTTAAAGGGAAATAAATAAGGATTTCTGTACATGTTGAGCTTACCGTGTATGCTTCTAGATTACACAAAAGGGAAATTAAAGTAGCTTATTCTATATAGAGAAAGTAATCTTAATAATTGCAAAGGGTTTGGAAGGAAAACTGTGTTTGTTTTTTTAATTGCTGACCAAGATAAATATTGTACAATCTTAGCCAGACAATTGATAGCATTCTAAAGTAGTAATTCTTTTTCTTGTCTTTTTGAGTTTTTATAATTGTCTGATCAAAAAAATAAAATTGATGTTGTAGATTTGTATCTCAGTTTTTCTCAAATGCAGTTTGAGAGCATTAACATGTTTTGCAGTCTTGCAGGTGACAACATTGACTTGAGAGATGACTCAATTTATTATCTATTTTTTGTTTTATTTTGTTACTCTTAATGTTCTGTTATGGAAGACTTTCTCTCTTTCCCAAATTGATTAATTTGTTTTCCTTTCTTTATGTGTGGTATAGAAGCTTTCCGGGCACCGATGTTTCGAAATGGGCCTGACAAAAATGGCTTCTCTCTTGGATGTCAAAAAAACTTAAGAGAGGTTTTTGGAGATGAAAAAAAATACTGGTTGCTCCCCATTTTTACAAGGTATTGTCATTTATATATTTCAGTGATAAATTCTAAATTTTAAGGATACAGTTCAGAAGTACATAAATCTTTAAACCATATTGATCTTACAGCACTATAAATTAACACACTTACTGATGTTAAACCCAAATGGGGCATTATGATTCCCCTTAGCCATACAGGTGGTCCTCAAGTTACGACCACTTGTTCAGCAACCGTTCAAAGTTACAACGGCACTGAACAAGGAGGACGTACAACCATTCTGCGAAGTTGTGGCCGTTGCAGCATCCCTGCAGTCATGTGATTGCAATCTGGGCACTGTGTGCCTGGCTTGTGCTTACAATGTTGTGGCGAGCCAAAATCACGTGATTGCAATTTCCAACATTCTCCGCCAGCTTCCCACAAGCAAAGTCAATGGAGAAGCCAGCAGGAAGTTGGAAGTTGCTCCTGCTTCTGCTGCTTTTTTGCCTGCGGCACCTGCCCACCCACTCGTGCTCAATAGCGCCTGCCTGTGGTACTCCCCCATGGCACTCACACACCTGCCTGTGGTCAGTAATGCCTTCCTGCAACACCCACATACCTGCCCGTACTCAGCAGTGCCTGCCCGTGCTCAGTAGTGCCTGCCTATATCACCCATGTATCCATCCGCACTCAGTAGTGCCTGCGCATGGTGCCCCCACCCCCCACAGCAGTTGCACACCCGCCCACACTTTGGAGCACCTCCCTGCAGCACCTGCACACGCGCCTGCACTCCAGAATGCCTGAGGCAGCCAAGCACCCACCAGCCTGGGATTCCTGCCTCTTCCCACTTAACAAACATGCGATCCTGGGGTTACAATGGCAACCAGTACTGCAGGATTGCCATTGCTAAGCAATATGGTCACGTGACGTCACATTTTACAACGGCATCACTTAGCAATGGAAATTCCGGTCCCAATTGCCATCATAAGCTGAGGACTACCAGTATTATACTTAGTGCATAGTAAAATAGACAGCCACTTCTTAAATATTCTGAGTTGTTCATTGAACTTAAAAGACCATTTTTTGCTGAATTAATCTTATCTTCAAATCATATGAAGTATAGTTTATATTATTTAAAACCTTTAACAATTGATTTGTTAAATCATGGTCTTCCAGCTCTTTATTATAGAGTTCTTGCAAAAACTAATATCAACATTGACAGTACTCTTTAATTGTTTACTAAAAAATAAAGTAGACTTGACATCAGCCAAAACACATACCGATACTGGCAATAATGCAGGAGCTTTAGATGCTGCTAAACCAAACTGTAAATTCAGAAGGCGTTTTATTAAATATGCTGCCATTCTATAATTTTAAGTGTTAATACCCCTGCTTGCTCATGACTTCCAAAACCAAAAAGATCTACACACAATTTTCAAACTATTTTATCCTAGAGTATAAGTCTGTCATGTGAGTAAGGGTTGAAATTAATGCTTCCCTTTCCATTTCTTCCAAATATGCCTTGCACACTTTAATACAGAAAATGCAAGTAAACTATTTTGAAATGGAGTAAAGCTTCTGTCATGATTATCAGAGGGGTTACATAATAACTTTCTAATTGTGACCATAATCATTTTTAACTTGGTTGCTTGTATTCTATAAAGAGATTGAAGGAAGAATACATGGCCAGTGATGAAGCTGAAATCAAGAAAATTAAACACCCCCTTCCCCTCTTTATCATTTAATAGCTGTAATTTATACAAGAAAACCTAGGGATTTGTTCTTCCCATAAAACATTTCTTAATATCTTAGTGATTTGCCATGTCTTCTGCTAGGCTTCTGGCTCCCACAACTGACCTCTTTTCTTCCGTGAATATCTTTAGTCTCCAATCTTTTGGAAACAAAAGGGATAAGCAAGTTTTCATGCTGAGACTGAGCTTGAGAAAATTTACTATGTTGCCCAGGTAGCTCTGCAAAGAGGCAGCTCCATGTGGGTTTTATTTTATTGGTTGCCCACCCAGCCATCAGGAGGGAGAAGCAAAATGCATTCAAGAAAATCATTTTAAAATTGCCTGTAGTCCTTTGTTATTATTTATAGACACCGTCAGCCAAATCCTGTTTTCATAATTCTGCCCTCCCAACTGCAAAAATGAGAGTTTGCTTGTCAGCATACATGAAGCATCAACTACATCTCCAACTAATCTTCATCTCTCACCCGATGAACACTTGTCTGTGTTATTGAAGTTACATTGCTTGCATCCAGGATCAAAATGATTTGGGATTCCTCTTATCAAATAAATAGACATATAGGAAGACAGATTTGGGATCCTTCCTTAGTAATATCCTTACTATTCAAATTTTAGTTGCCTTTATTTTTTTCAAGTCTATGGTCCACAATGAATCTCTCTTTTCTCTTTTGCATTCCAAAATCATCTTTTTGTGCCTAGCAAAAAGGTCTCTGTGTCCTTCTGTAATTTGGTAACGGAAGAGTTGATTCTTGGACTGATAAGTGTTCAAGCAACTATTGTATAAACAACCCATAGCTACAGATTTCCCCTGTATCTTCTCCAGTGCTAGCTGGAGAATCTTTATCACTTCAGTAAAGAATTTCTTGTACAGTTCTACAGTGGTACCTCAGGTCACAAACTTAATTCGTTCCGTGACTCTGGTCGCGACCCGAATTGGTCGTGACCTGAATCAAATTTTCCC